CTCTCTCTCTCTAATTACCCGCCCATTACCACCTTCCTAGGGTTAATGCACGTCCAAGGGTGATAGCATTAAAGGCGAATACTGTCTACATGTTCAATGATGATTCATTCAGTTCTGTATAGGCACGCACTAGCAGAGAGGTACAGGTTGACATTAAATCGACCAAAGGATTGCAATCGGACAGGGTTTTCCGATGGCGAAGGAAGCATATATGTCAAGCAAAAGGACAAGGAGAAGGTGGACAATCATAGGTGGGCGTCTACCTAAATCCATTCAATGGTGTAACTTTGATGCATCTGCTACTGAACTCGATTTCAGCAAACCCCCTTTGGCTTACCCACATAACCAATTTGAATGGCGAGTTTAGTGAGCTTAGTTTGAAGAACAGATTTCTCTTTTCGCGATTTTGACTTCTTTTTCTTCTTCTTCTCTTCCGGTGCTTGAGCATCAGCTGTCTTCAGTGCTACAGTCTCAGGCGCCTTCTCCAAATCCTTCTTCTTGTCGGACTTCTTAGAGTCGCGTGTAGAATCACCTGAAGAGTTGGCGTGAAAAAGAAATGGCAACAATAAAAAGGAGGAAGGAGAAAGAACGAAAGAAAGACAACAAAACAATGGCCCAAAACCAATGCGATTTCAGTGGCGCATCACAGCAGTAAGTGCGTAACAAGCGCCTTCATGTTTGCTGGCAAAAAATGCAAATGAAGTCAAGATTATACAAACACACAATGAAAGAAAGGGAGAAACCAAAGAGAAAGTATAATTAGGAAAACGAAATAATAAAAAAACCCCCACTTGACGTATTTTCAGAGGTCAATGTCAGTAATTCATGTTGAGAATAGGATTCTGGCATAGGGATTAACAAAAAAACGAGAAAAAAAAAACAAAAAAAGAAGGAAGTCTCAGTTGCAGATACAGACCACTTATTTTTTTTATTCTTTAGATAAAACTGTACTGCCTTCACAAGGGCAATTGCACACCCCTTTAAACCTTTTCCTAATGCAATAATAATAACCCTTATTGTTACCAAGGCAACAATCAAGATGCATCTCATCGAGTTGGGAGTAAAGGCAAAAGCTAATTTTGACGATAACTCGAGGCGATAATAATGACGCCATAGAGTGATCCTTATCACTCCCTCGCCTCTTTTAGCATGCAAATTCCCCATAAATTGCACCAGGCAGAGTGATAAAAACAGTTGTTTGAGCTCCCCATTTCTGCCCGCAAATAAAAAAAAAGTTAGCTAATTTATCCTACAAAGAGGTCTCCATGTAACACTTTATGCATTAATCTTTCAGTGAAATGGGACTAATGAAGCCTCTGCTTTCAGTGCCTCCTACTGCCTTCACCTCCGTCACACCTACACACATCCCATCAACACCAGTCTCGTGTAAAAAAAAAGTGGAGAAAAGGAGTAGAAAATGGAGGTACCTTTTTTATCTTTACCCTTCTTTTTTTCACCCTCATCATCAGCAGCACCAAGGAGAGCAAAAATGATACCAGCTTGTGAATTCACACCGACGGCAGTTATGACAATACGACCCGATCCTTCCACCACGTTTGTGCCTAAAGGGTAGCAAACAAAGGAAGGGAGGTAGAGAAAGAGGTTAAACAAATGACGCGATCGAGTACAAACACTTGGAAGTAAGGCTTGCTTTTCTCTCATAAACAACCCGTGGGTGTGATCACTTTCAAGACAAGAACGATAAAGGCTCTACGACTGGAAAAAAAGTACAAACAACCGAACACACACACAGTGATGAATCACACTCCACGATCTTTGTTATAATGAGACCGTTGTTTCCACCTTCTGTATGTGTAGAGATTGACATACAGAAAAGAGACTTAAAAAGAACAACAAAAGTGGAGGTTATCTGCTTTCTGTGACCCTCCAATCCGTCTGTATACAGACGTCAACATCCACCGAAGAACTGTCTAAGCGTTTTAACGCAAAAAAAAAAATCATCAACCACCTTTCAGAAACTGAACACATCGTTTATTTACTTTTGGTGTAGCTGTTAAGGCCGATGACTGGATGCAGTAGGAGTTTGTTTATCAGTCACGTATCACAGAGAAATGGTGAACATGCAGCCACCATGCACCCAATCACTTGTACAATTAGGGTTGTTAAACTACACACAAGTAAGCTTTGAACAAGGATAGGGACATCGCCTTCCCCGTAAAAAGCCAAACCACAGGTACCAGTTGGAGGGGGAACTAATTTGAAGAATTCCCTTGACAGAGTAATAAATCTTTCCTTTACCTACGAGATGTGCTTTTCCCCTTCTCTCTCTCTATCTCTCTCTTGAATACCCGTTGCTAGGATCGGTACGGAGAGGGAATAACGGGCTTTTGGACCACATGCATCGTCGTGAGGGAGGTAATTTCAAAGTGGCCTGTTGTACTGAGGTGGGTATGGCAGAAAAAGTCGCATCCAACAAGTGGAACGGCTACGCTCTACCAGTACTCACACTGAAGGAAAGACAAAGAAAGTGAATGCATGCTAGTGCATGTGCAATGACGTGCAATGACCCGTTGAAACCCAACGCTCACACACAAGAACACGCCTAAACTTGATAGCACAAGAAAAGAAAAAAAGGAAGGCAGTTAAATTGTGCAGCACAGGAAGAAATTTTTTGGAGTAAAAGAGAGAGAGAAAGAAATAAGCCAAGACAGTTCTGTGCAAATAAAGCCAGTGGAAGATGCGATGGAAGTGCTTCCCTTGCTCCCCCCTCCAATCCCAGATTACTCACTCCCCCTTACTGACCAATCAGAATTGAGTATGCGGTGATTGTTAAACCAATGGAGTAGTGAATAATTACATAGCGGAATGACACTTTTCCACCCCAGTATGTGTTGTAAACTGCAAAAAGACAGGTCAATTTCACAGTTTGGTTTATCATAAGATCATGCATTAAATATAAAAGTCTAGAGGAAAAAAACCTACCGGAAAAGAGACAAACATCCTTATTTTCGCCCTTTCGAACCTGATCCGATTCACCTGTCAACGCGCTTTCATCAATCTTTAGGTCATTGCATTGAATGAGAATACCATC